AAATCATCCAATGGGTATTATGATTTTTTTAGTGAAGAGTATAAAAAAAGGTATTTAAAAAGCTTTTTCGATACTGTAAATAAATATTGCGAATACTTAAAAACAAAAGAATCAGACAATGCAGTAAAACCTAGTCAGAAAGAACCTGGACAAGGAATAAAATTTCCTTCGATTGAAAGATGAATTACTCAATAGAAAACCCATTAGTTGATTTTTCAGACATGTTATTTGTACACAAATTATATTATATTTGTAAATCTCATTTAACCATTAATCCAAAAAAATACCAAGAATTAATAATAAATTATTACAAGAATGGAGGTAATGTCAATATTTCACCAAGTATAGTAAATTGGAAAAATACAAATCTTAGCTCTTCGATAATTTTACATAATGAACCTATTAATTATGAAAAGAAAAATAAAAAAGCCTATGATTATTTAACAAACAGAGGTGTGAATAAATATACCAATATCGATTTTATTAAAAATATTTTTTATATTTGATAGAAAATAAAATTAAAAATAAATATGATGATTGGTATGAAACTCAGAATTCTATAACAAAATTAAATGAAATGTATTTTCCATATTGGATTTGTAAAATTTCTCATAGTAGATATATTAATAATCCTGTGAAATATCAGTTGATGTCAATATCTTATTTTTATAGAAGTAGTGAAACATCTTCTGATGATGTGATTTGGAAAAAAGATGGTGTAAAAATATTATTAACAATAGGTTATGATGAAGTGATGAAAGGTAAAGAAATAACTTTGGATGTTATTGATAATATAAACAAAAATTCATATTCAAAGTTAGATTATATAAATGAAACACAAAATTATTACGAATATGTATTTCGTGTTTATAAAGAAGGTTCGAAACATGATACTGTTGAACCTATTAAACAAGAATTGAAATTATTGAAAGAAGAGGTTAATTTAATTAAAATTTTGTACAAAAAAGAAATAAAATCATTAAGACAAGAATTCGATTCATTCAAGAAATCGATCGAGGAGCAAAAAAAGATCGATACTCTGGTAGCAGAAATATGTACGATGTTGAGCATAAATTCAGATAATAATTTATTAAAAATACATAACGCTTTGGTACCAAGTAACAATATAGATAATGATATAGATCAAAAAGAAATCATCAAATCGATATGTAACGTTCTTGACATAAAACACATACAAAATAACGATTATCAAAATCTTGTAAACATAAAAGAAGCCGTTAGAAAAAAAATATTTATAAATGAATAAATTAATAAATTATCATATCAGATTTATTTATAAAATGAGTTATATAGAGGTGTGGCGACTTAGTGAAGTGGTCTAGTTGTCACCCTCACTAAACGTTATGGGAAGATTCCATGTTCGAATCCCAGGGACGGCGCTTTTGTAATATGGGAAAAGCTCTGCGATGATCTTTACTAAGGTTGGCCCAT